GCTTCAGCAGCACGTGGAGAAACACAGATGGCCACCCTGCCCCGCCGCGGTGTCCACTCATGGGCTCTGGGACCCAGGGCCTGTGCTCTCCAGGTTCCAAGCTGTTCTGCTGGTCTGGGGGACGCGCCGTGGGAATCACAGCTTGAGAATATTGTCCCTCTGCATTTGTGGGGCTTGGCTTCAAGACTCCACAAACGCTGAATCCCAAGTTGCCCGCGGCCCCTCCCTGGGGTGGCGCAGCCCTGGGGTGCCCACTGCCCCCCTCCTGGGTTGTCCCATCATTGACCGTGTGACACAGCGGCGGTGGAAACAGTTGTTCCGTTGTATCCTTCAGGGACTCAGGACAAGGAAATGACCTGCACATCTTCAGTGCGACTGTGTCCCCAAGTCCTTCCAACCTGGGGTTGTGTCGTCCACGCCCGCGGAGCCCAGGGTGTGAGAGCTGCCCCTGTGACCTGCGAGGATGGCTCCCTGGAGTTTACACGCAGGTGACCTTGTGTCACGGCTTCCCCGTGGGATGCCAGGGACGCGAGGTCCCATGCCACCCGCACTGACTGCAGGCAGAAACGCGGTACACGTGGCCCTGCAGGAGGTGTTGTCGGGTGGCCTCCAGAGCTGGAGTCCTGACAGGGCGGCCAGACCCCACCCTTCAGAAACGTCCACAGCACAGGACAGGGACACAGTGGCTGGTCACATTCCCAGCGCCTTCTGGGAGAGCCGCGCAGACTCCTGTTGGACACACACCACCCTCTGTGCGCCACAGCGGGTGAGCCTGGCTCTGTCCCCGGGAAAAGCACCAGAGAAAGGAGTTGGGCTGCCCCTGCGCTGGAGCCCCTCCCTGCAGGGACTCCGTGTGCCTGTGCCAAGGACACAAGAGGCCAGGCGGGGCGGCCGTCTGGCGCGGGAGCCTTGGCTGAGCGCTCGGGCTGCGAAAAGACAGCGCTCCGGCAGCGGGCAGGACCTCCCTGCACCAGGACAGGACACCCCGATGCTCTCTGTCCTCCTTCAGTGTCAGAGGCTGCATTGAGGGTGGCCACAAGGCTGGGCGGCTGCTCCTTCCAGCCAGAAGACGGTGGGCCGTGGGCCCCGCACCCGTCATCCTGAGTGAGGACCCTCTGGAAACCTGGCCTATTGAAGGAGTGACCAGCAGTGGCCAGTGGGACCCCGATGACCCGACTCAGGAGCCGCTGCTGACCTGGGGTTCCAGCAGCACAGCCCAAGCCAAGGTCCCTCCAGTGGTGGCATCGGCTGGCCTGGGCTGCCTGCCTGCAGGAAGCAGGGGACGTCCCTGGAGGAGGAGCCACAGTGACGTGTTGGGTGAATGGTGCCCCTCAAAGCAAGGGCTGGCATCCTCCCGCTGAGCGTGATCTGTGTGGACATGGGGCCTCTGAGCATGGGGTCAAGTTCAGGAGAGGTGATGGACGCAGTGGCCCCAACAAGGACTGTGTCCTCACAGAAAGGGGCCCTGGACACCGTGGCAGGTGCACCGTGAGGAGGCCATGAGGACAGTCGGACAGAGTCGGAGACGGCTCCTACAGGCCAGAGTGTCAATGACGGCCAGCGAGCCCCCAGGGGTGGGGGAGAGCTGGGGGCCGAGGACCCTCGCACCCACAGGAACCAGTCCTGCCCATACTTTCTCCCTGAGCTTCCAGCCTCAGGAGAGGGACAGCCCAGCACGTGCTTGGCCAGAGTGTCCCAGACTGACCAGCACGTAACCCACCTGCTGCTGACCAGCAAAAGCAACAGCACAGCACGTCTCCCGAGGCCACTGGCCGAGCACCCCAGCTCCTGGGCACCCCCTTAGCAGAGCTGCCGCTGTTCCTACCTGGATCAAAGCCCAGGAGACTCTCGGGTGGCCCCACTTCCCGTGTCCACCCACCACTGCTGATGCAGCCATAACCAGCTCCAGGGACACCTGACATAGCTCGGGGGTGACACTGTAGAATGAGTGAGTGCGTGCCAGGAGCCGGCCCCAGGCCACTACCTGCAGTGGGGAAAGACACGTCCTCAACTGTCCCGAGACGGAAAGGAAAAGGAAGCTCCCAGACAGGCTCCCTGGGAACCAGAGGAAGAGCTCCGGGGAGAGCAGGTGCTGCTGCCCGGTAGGGCCCGACCGGAGGGCTGTCTGTGATGCACAGGACACGT